TGTGGGGTAAAGCAGCGGGGCTTTTATTATGCCACAGTCGAGCGCTTCCGCTGCTTCCGGTCGTGCGTATGTGGGGTAAAGCAGCGGGGCTTTTATTATGCCACAGTCGAGCGCTTCCGCTGCTTCCGGTCGTGCGTATTTCTTTGCGACTGAAGACAGAAAGACGTCTCGGATGACATAGAGGTGAGTAAATTATCAGGACATGTTTACTCTGGAAGTGAACTACTCCTTTAATATCATTGACTAGTTGTTTTGTCTCTGATGAGCACCTGCAGGTGAAGTATCGCACTCCTTCATGACCCCCGTCGTGTTTTCCTCTCTCTGGATCATCCCACTCCACTCCCAGCCACACACCTGCAGAGAAGACAGAGGAACATCAAACTGATTGTGAAGAAGCTGATCATCATATAATGCTGAATGAACGGAGACGGACCTGCGGTGGGAGGAACCGGACCCACATAACGGACTGTTCCTCTCTCTCCATCACAGCTCACCCGTCTGCCCACAGCATCCTCCGGAGTCTTCATCAGACGACGAGGATGATGAGGATCTGTATCAACCACTGAGAAAACGTGAGAGACAAATCAGATCGAACCATCTAAAATCACTTTTTTTTTGCACATCATGAAACCACATATTATACTATACTAACAGACCCTAAAAAGCATTAAAGCATCATAAAACAATTCAATTATTTACATGAAATTATAACAATATTTGAAACTAGATTTTAAAAAGTTTGTCAAGACTAGGCTTGAGAAAGCCTAGCCTGAAAGTTTGAAGCTGCTGTAAAAGCTTGAAGTTTGAAAATTCAGTTAGATTAGATAGATGTTAATAGCATGTGCTAGCATGATTAACATGTTGTTACCATGTTGTTAGCATGATTAACATGTAGTTAGCATTTTGGTAACATGTTTCTATCATGATTATCATTTTGTTAGAATGATTAAAATGTAGTTATCATGCTACTAACATTATTAGCATGTAGTTAACAAATTGCTAACATTACTAACCTGTTGTTATCATGTTTCTAACATGATTATCATTTTGTTTGCATGTTTAAAATGTAGTTACCATGTTGTTAGCATGATTTGCATGTAGTTAGCATATTGGTAACATGTTTTTAACATGTTGTTAGCATGATTAACATGTAGTTAGCATGTTTCTATCACGACTATCATTTTGTTATAATGATTAAAATGTAGTTAGCATGTTGCTAACATTATTAGCATGTAGTTAACAAATTGCTAACATTACTAGCATGTTGCTATCATGTTTCTAACATGATTACCATTTTGTTTGCATGTTTAAAATGTAGTTACCATGTTGTTAGCATGATTTGCATGTAGTTAGCATATTGCTAGCATGATTAACATGTAGT